CCCAACGATAACTCAAAAACTAATTGAGCTAAGTTCACCAAATTTTCACAAATGATTTATTGTAGTAAGTGCCAGAACCCTATTTAAATTGGACATGATCGGGGTACCGGTTCGGGTAGCTGCCATACAACTTCAAAATTTATTTGGCTATATCTCAGAAACTATAAAAGTTATGGTATTGAAATTTCACACAAACGAATATATTAGTAGGGCCAATATGCCCCATAAAATTCGTTGAAATTACTTGGCTCCTTCTGGTACCTGCCATACAACTTCAAAAGTTATTTGGCTATATCTCAGAAACTATAAAAGCTGTGATATTGAGATTTCACACAAGTGAATATATTAGTAGGGCCGATGTGTCTGGTAAAAGTCGTTGAAATTACTTGGCTCCTTCTGGTAACTGCCATACAACTTCAAAAGTTATTTGACTATATTTCAGAAACTATTAAAGCTATGGTATTGAAATTTCACACAAACGAATATATTAGTAGGGCCAATGTGTCTTATAAAAGTCGTTGAAATTACTTGGCTGCTTCTGGTACCTGCCATACAACTTCAAAAGTTATTTGGCTATATCTCAGAAACTATAAAAGCTGTGATATTGAGATTTCACACAAGTGAGTATATTAGTAAAATTTCTTGGCTCTTTCTGGTAGCTGCCATACAACATCAATAGTAGTTTGGCACAACCAGTATTTTGAATAACACATAGTACTGAAATTTTGCATAAATTAATATGGTAATACGGCAACTTAAAGTCATAGTCTACCCCATAGTTAGTTATGGCACATTAGTTATTCGCACATAGGATAACAAATTCGTACGGGTATCACAGAGTTGACAAGGTCAACTCTATTTTTTTTCTCGTTTTTTAATCAAATTCACTGTAGAAATTTGTATTTTCTACAAAAATATTACAATGGCAAAGACCTTTATTTTCCTCTTTCGTAATTATTGTAAAAACAATTTTAATTTTCTGCAGTGAGCATTTTCCTATAGTATACGTTATATCTACAATCATTTGGTCATGTAGCTGAATTATCTTTAAAAAATAACAATAATTTAGAAAAAGTATGGTGAAATTTTAAAACGTCCACAAAGTGCAATTTTCATAGTGAAAAGGTAACATGTTGACAAGTAAGAGGTGAAATGAATAAATCAGCTATATAATGTGTCTGATACCATAATAAATTACAGTATGTTTTCTATTTTTCTTCAACGAATGGTGAATTTTCCTTAATATAATATATATTTACATAAGAATATATGAACTTAATTTCATAATTCTCCATATTAATTCTTACATTGCATATGCAGAATAAACACTTTGTGCGCAGGATTTTTTTGTTCTCTTATTCAGCTCTCAAGTTTTATATTATAAATTTTTTTTTGTGTAATAGATTTACTATTGTTGTTATAATTATTGTTATTATTATCCTTTTTATTTTAAAGAGAAACATGCATACATGCAAATAAAACTTTAACATGTTGTATAGATATTGTTATGTGAGAATGTGGTGGAATTTTAGAAAAACATCTGTGTTGTTTATATAATATTGTAAATAAGGAATTTAAAATAATAATAATAATAAATTAATAAATATTAAAGTTGGAAATATTATGAATTTTTTTTTTATTCCTGATGAATGAAAAGTGAGGAGAAACAAGCAGCAAAAATTACAATAAAAAAAAAAAACAAACAAAAAAAATACACATAATATCATTCTATATAAAAACACAGACAATTATCATTATAGCTATATGAATGGGGTGATATACGAAAGTATTGTTGAAGAATCATAGAAAAATTTTTTAAAGAATTTATTTTTCAAGTAAATATATAAATATTACAGAACACATTACATATATTACACAATGAGTAAATTTGCGTGTATTTTAATAGGCAATTTACACACTTATATTAAATGCTTATATTACTTATAATTTGTACATACACACATACCATATGCATAACAATAAAAACAAATTTTCTTTTTTGGTACTTAAAAATGAATGAATTGAGGACAATTATTATTCTTTTAGAATTGTTTCATTGTGAATTGAGATTTGAAGAATAAAAAGAAATTTTTATAGGTTGATTATTAATACCATACATACATACATAAGTATATGTTAATGTGATATTACGACGTAGTAAATTTTATAAGTTTTTTTTAAAGTTTTTAAAAATTTTCAAGACTTTTTCTTTTCTTTATATTTAAAATTATTTACTATTTGAGATCTCTTTTGTGACTTATAGATACAGAGATGTACACATATAAACAAAAAAGTTTACGTACTTAATTTAATATATAATTTTATTTATTTATGTGTGTTTTCATGATTATTCATATATTTGCATTTCATACTATTGAAATAGTTTTTGTTTTTCTTTTCTTTTCATATATGTACGAATTATATTTTTAAGTATATAACATTTTACGAGTATGTTAAATCTTACGAGTTTTCTTTTTGTTATGTTTTTGCATTAAATAATGTTAAAATATTAACACAACCAGTGAATATTGTTATGAGAGTAGTTTGAAATTAGTTTTTGAGTATAATAAAAAAACAAAATGAAAAAAAACAGCAATGATTGCGAATTAAAAATAAAAAAATTAATTAAATAAAAAAGGATACACACACGCATTTTCATTTGTATATACGTACATATAAAAATATTTACCTCTTATTTTTAATAATATAAATATTCAAATTAGATTTAGAAGGTGTGAAAGGCGTTAAATTTTTTCATTGTAATTTATTTAAAATAAAAAAGTTTAAGAGCGAGTAAATTTTATTTTTAAAATAACAAGCACAATTCACAAGTATAGTGATGGTAAAGGGGTTAAATAAATATTGTGATAATTAATTGAAATATTTTTAAATGAAAAATTATTTAAAATTTTTTTTTTATTTTCTGAATTTGGAAAATTTAATTAGAATTTTGATTTTTTCTATTCCTAATTGACGATATAAATATACATTTATTTAGTTTTAAATAAAAATCAAAAATAAAGTCTATTATAAGTAACAAATATAATATTTCTGCATATATATTTGTGTTTTTGTACTTAAGATATGCGTTATAGTCAGATTCACACTACTATTGTGTCAAATAAATATTAAAAATTAAGTAAAAGTTATGAAAATTTAACAATACTGGTGTGCCTTTAGTATTGAATTAAAAATAACAGAAGTAATTTACCATGATGGTGGTTTTTTTCTTAATTTAACCAAATTGTCAAATCCTGATAAATTTTAAATGTCCATTCATAAATGTTTAACTAAGGTATTTAATTATAGCTACATGACGAACTATTAGTAAAAATGTGGCTATACACCAAAGTAAAAACAATTATTTAATAAAACGTGACTTAATATGCACATAATTTGCCTCAAGGGACACAATCTCAAAAAAAATAAATGTCAACGAGTATTTTGTTCATTTTCTTAATAAGTTTTTAGATTAACTTACCTTTGTTAAGGTTCCCTTAAATTTATTATGTTGTTAAATTCATTGTGTTGTTAAGTTTTTTTTGTAGAAACTTATTTATTTAAACCTCTTACGAAGAAGCTGTAAATTAAACACTTTGAATTGTCATTTATATTTTAGCCTGTGAAAATATAATATAAAATTTAAAATTTAAATGTTTTTTACCACATCTGTGCTTACTTTAGCTATCCTATGTATGTGTTGGTTGAAATTTTGCAGATTTACGATGACAATACGTGATTTGATAGTAAAATTGGATTAATAGTCGGCGATTGAATCCGTCTTTCGTAAGCATTAATAAAATCTAATAATTAACTCAATACGACCAAACTTTAATGTACCATTTCAGTACACGCACTTCTAAATATATAATATAGATTTATATTCATCTAATATTTATATTTATCTAATAATGTTACCGTATCACCCACTTAAAAATTTGTTTCCCATTTTTAGTCCATTCCCTTATGTTCTAATTTCCAATACCATATACTTATATGCCTGGTTTTTTTAAAAAGCAATTTTTTAGAAATATTTATTTATGGATTTAAAGTGAAGATATCAGAAAACAAATAAATAATTAGAACAAGTATGCTAATTAATAAAAAATTTAAAATGTTTAAAATCGTTTTCATTTTCAAATGTTCAGTACTTTAAAGAAAGTTGACATACATATATGACATATAGCACATTTCTGAGAACAATGACATAAGTCAAGTCTTTTAGCCTTCGTTTGTAATTTATACTCAGTTATTTCTAAATACTTTAAATTCCGGAAGTCTAAGTTATATTTTTGAGTTGTGTCGCTATGTTCCAATGTGCGACATGAATGTAATGAACTTGATTATTTATAATCACCAAATTTCTAACAAAATAAGTAGTTCTATAAGGATGTAAACATATATTCCAGTTTTTTAAACATTTTTCAGCTTAGACAGAAATATACTCGTAACAAGGAGATATTCGTCAATTTTATTAGATATTGCACTATGATGTATTTAGTGGTAAAAATCCAGAAATTATGGCAATATTAGTGTCATTTAATTTCGAACAATATTAATTAGCACAGATTGAATAGATCCTATTCAAAATCCAAATTTTACAAAAGATTTCGTAGAAGTTTTTGCATATTGCTTCTAATAAATTAACAAAATATTATTAAACTGAAACACCTTGTAAAATTTTGTTTTGTTAAAAAATATATTTTAATTATTAATACAGTATTCGTTTTTTTTTTTTGTGTTTTTAATTATTTGTTACAAATTTTAATTTTTTTTTTTCTTCAGTTAGTTTTTAATTTTTTTATTCAATATTTTATAAGTTTTAGTTTTTTTTTATATATAATATTATGTAAAATTATATAATTTGAAATTATATTACAAGAATACATTCATGATAATTTTATTTTTTTTTTTTTAGTTTTTTTTCTCCTTTTTATTTTATTTTCATAATTATTACATTTTTTTTTTTTTGTTTTTGTTCATTTATTTAAAATATTTAAGAGTAAATTTTGGCATTTTATTTGAATTTATAAATTTATATTTTTTATTAATATATATATATGGATGTGTGTATAATTAAGTTTTTATTTCAATGTATATATAAACACATTTATACATATACGTATATGTAATATGAATATACATATGTGATGTATTTGTAATTATATATTTATAAAGTTTATTAGCCAAAAAGAAGCACAGCAGAGTTATTTTAGTTTTTTAATTTTTGTTTTAACTACTAAAAATTTTTTCTGTTTTTTTTTTTTTACAAGTATGTATATGTATACTGAATTTTATTTTTATTTATATTTTTTTTTTTCTTTTTTTTTTAAATAATACCTAGGCTTTTAAAAATTCAATTTGTTTTTCAGTTTAAATTGATTTCAATAATTTTTTTTCGAATTATTTTTAAATTTAGTTTACAAAATATTTCACTTCTTTTTTTTCATATTTCTATATAATTCTTATAAATGTATGTACAAGTACATACTCACTTGTAGAAAATAAAACGAAAAAAGAAAAAACAAATAGTATAAAAAAGGATATTTGAATTTAATTATTTTCATTTCTTTGATATTCGGGTATCAATTGAAAATAACATAGCTAGTTAAGTTTTATATGTTGATTCGGATGATTTATAACAGAAATGTTAAAAATCTATATGTAGTTCAAAAATTGTTTGGCTACTGAATGGACGTACTTTTGTAAATATTTTTTCATTGATGTTTTTTTTTTTTTATAAAAAGTTTAATTTGTTTAAGCATTTCGTTTTTTTGTATGGAATTTTTTTTATTTTAAATAGTACTTTTGATGAAGTGTTTTTTTTCCAAATATATTAAAATTTTAATAGAACTTAATTTTAATTAAATAATTTTTATTTTTTTTATTAGCTTTGAAAAAATTATAATAAAAATTAAAAATAAGAAATGTTTGCATTTAATAAGTAAATATTTTTTAGAAATCCAACTTTGGTTAATAAAATTGAATTCCAAAATATAAGCTGTATAAAAAGGTAAAACGTAATGATGTTTGTATTGATGCCGATTTTTGTATTAATTAGGACAGTTAGTTAAAGGACATGGTTTTCTAAATTTGTTCTAAATAATTTTAGAACTGTAGTCAATTTATGAAATTTAAAAACTGGTTAAGCCGAGTATCGAATCGTTTATTCAAAATTACTTTCTTTTCAATTAGTTTAGGAGAATTATGTTTTCATAATTATTTTAAGATCCTTAAAAATATTTGCATAATAATATGAACCAGAGAAATCGTTTTGAAAAAAATTACTTAATACTTTTGTCATTGAAAAATGAGTGAAAAAAACCATATTACGTAAATATCGTCACTATATTACTATCGTACGAATAACTATATCGTATAAGTTTGTTGAATAATAATAAATATAACTCAAATTTATAGTAAATTTTTGTTATAATTTAAGAAATTCAATAAATATGTGAACCAAATGAAAAGCTGCATCTATGTATAATATGAATAAAAAGGGGCCAACTGTCCAATATTGTGAGAATAATCATTCCGACATCAAATTTAAATTTAACAAATTTTAAACGGAAATGTCAAATTACCGATTTTATCATTATAGTTATATAATATGATTATGTATTTTAAAAAATAAAAATTGGCTTGATTGGTAAATTTCCAATAAAAAAAAATATGTAGCCACATATACCTTTAATTTTGCATAGTTGTAGGCGAATCCATGCTTGGTTCTAAAAAATTTTTGTAATAGTAAATTAATGTGTAGTAGGTATACGATAATTTAATTTAATAAGTTGATATGATTTATGATATATTTTTTTTTTATTTTACTGTTATAAATTCGAATCAGAAAAAATATCTCCTTTATTTTATGTTTTCTTTTCATGTTTTTTTCTTTAAAGATCCAATAATTTTTAATCTCACATAATTTGTGTTTTTTTTTTGTATTTAAGTGTTGCCTTCAATTAATTAAATTTGTTTTCTATTTTATGTTTAATTTAATTTAAAAAATATATGTATATCATTTTACAGTAATATTTCAAAATTAATTTAAAATATAATTTAATTAAATTCTAACTAACTAAATTTTCTACATCTGATATCATAACTTCCAGATCAGATGGTGTTATTGAATTATCATTATTAATATTTTCATTGTTACCATTATTTTGTTTTAATGATGCTGATAATTTATTATTAAAGTTTTTATTATTACTAATATTAAGATTATTTTTTTGATCGTTGTAATTAGAATTATTTGTAGCGGTAGTGGTTGCAATTGTTGGTGTGGTAATTGAATTACTTATATTAAATTTGTTCTTATTATTAACATTTATATTATTTGTGTGGTTTGTAATATTGGTGGCTGTCGGAATTGAATTAGAGGGATTAATAGTGGAAATTGGCTGTAGTTGCTGTTGTTGTTGTGGTTGCAATAATTGTTGTTGTGATTTTGTCATAAAATTATTACTACTATGATGGTTAATAATATTATTTGACAGAATTGCTGCATTCGAAGCAATATTATTTGTATTATTTATACTATTACTACTATTACTACCATTACTGTTGCTAATGCTATTATTTCTACTGCTGTTACTGCTATTGTAACTGTTGCGATTACTATGGTTAACAGAAGTTGATGCTCCATGCTGTTGTATTTGCTGTTGATGTTGCAATGGTACACATGCATTGGTAAAATTTTTTGGCCATTCAAAAGGTGATGATTTGTGAAAATCATCACAACCGGCAGTATGTGGTTTATTTAAATTATTGTAATTAAAATTTGATAATTGATTTCCTAATGCATTATAATTAACATTAGGATTATGTGATTGTTGGCGTAATAATAAATTTCCGTTGTTTGTATTATTGATATTTGCACTTACTAAATTGTTCGTAGGTGGTGAGGGTGTTCTTTGTTTTGTTTGTTGTTGCTGAATATGATATGAATTATTACTGTTTATGTTACTTAAATTGTTTAACTGTTGGGATGCTCCAACTAAAAGCGCATGAGTATTTGCATTATTCGATAATGATGCTCTCGGTATATTTTTCATAGTTCCTTTAACACCATTCGATGATGATGATTTTAAAAGATTATTGGTACTGCCTTTTTGTTGTTGTGGCAACGCAATGTCAGCAATATCTGATCGACGTAAATTTGAAGAAGAATTTTCTCTTCGCAAATTTTGATTAGAACTGCTACGTCTTGCTGGTGCTAATCCGATTGGGCTTGTTATACCATCAGGCGTCAATGGTTTTTTAGAAATTGAGGGACGTTTTGTATCTGAAGATGAAACGCTGTTATTCTTTAAGTTAAGACTACTACGTTTTTTTGACTTTGATAAATTATTATGGCTGTTTGGTATAAGATTTTGGGTACTACCAAAATTTCGACTTAAATTTACTGAGGTATCACTAGCTTTACGCGAGGATGAAATTGGTCTTAGAGCGGCTGCTCCCGTATTGTGTGACACTGAGTTACTACGACTATAACTATGTGGCTGTTGATTTTTGTTCGTATTTGTTTCAGAACAATCTATATGTGAGTTACTAGCACTACGGTTAATTCGAAATACGTCGGGTGGCTTATTGTTTTTATTTGATGATTTGTGTAGGTTTGTAATATCTAAGGTATCAATTGATTTACTCAATTCTCTTAAATTTTCTGTACTATTGACTTGCATATTTTCATAAAGTGGGGTTTTGTCTGACATTTTATCTGGATGTTCCAATGTTTCGTAATTTGGTTCCGAATTTTCCATTAAGTTTAATTTTAATCCATCGGTTTTATCTGTTGATCTTACTAATAGTGCAGCTCTACGTCCACGTTCATCAGATGATTTACTACTAGCAATAGGTGCTACTCCAACTTTCTTTTTATCAATTCCAGTAGGTCTACTTTTACGTTTGGATTTCCCTAATCCACCACCAATTACGTGAGTTTTAACTGCCGAATTTTTTGATAATTTCAAAGAGAATTTAAATGGTGGTTTGTAAACGACTTGCAACTTCACTTTTTCATTACTTAAATTTCCAACAGATTTTGTTTTTTGTGGTGATTTTTGTATTAATCTGTCTGGTGTCGACTGTGATTTTGTCATTATATTACGAACTTTGGACGAATGTTCGATATGAGATAAAGGTTGAGCGACTATAGGAGAATCAAGAAGCCATTTTTGAACTTTTCCAAATGTGTTTGTATGTGCATTATTTGGACCGGCAATGCTTTTAGAATAATCTATAATTTCATTTTTCTTTTTTAATTTTTTACTTTTCTTAAAATCGCTTAACTTATTGCTAACTTTGTCGTCTAAACTAGTACGAATTTTTTTACGTGATACTTTTTTGAGTACTTCGCCAGATGAACGTTTGTTTAGTACAGTAGATGGTATTTTAGGTATAACAGTAGTTGTAGTGGCAGTAGGGGAATTTTTATTGGCACTAATTGAAGTTGTTGTAATGGCAGGTGATACAATATTTGAAGTCGATTGCGTGGGAGGAACACCACCACTACCACCCACAGGTGGAGGATTACCATTACCAACCTTTGTATTTGATTTCGAACTGATCTTTTGTTGGGTAGATTTTTTGGTTATTATTTTTGTCTTGTGACTTCTTTGACCCCGAACTTTCTTTTTGAATGGTACTTTTGTTCGGACTGCTGTATGTACTATCACACCGTTGTTGTCCTCCGGCAATCGAACTGTCTCTGTCGTTGCACTGTGTATTATTGTTACTGATTTCAGTTTCACATTTCGTTTGCCCAATAGTTTCGTGCTCAATATCTGCAAGTAATTTAGAAAAGGAAAATTATTTTATTGAGGTATAGAAAAATTTAAAAATGAGAGAATTATTGGTAAAAATATATTTATTAAGTTTTTACTTATATTAGCAGTAAAATCATTATTAAATTATTTGTTTAGCATATAATAATTATATAAATATATTATTGATTTAATAAAAATGAATACAATGTAATTAATTGAAATTTTCATTTTGTAATTTTGTTGGATTTTGGTTTTGTGATCCTAAAAAAGTTTTCAAAACTTTTCACTTAAATCGCTAAAATGTTGATATTTATCATTCATGTCGTTCAATATAAAACAGATATATATTATTGAATTGAGTTCGTTTAGTTTGTAACACAAGAATTTTGTACTCTTAGCTATACATGAGTATTAATCTGACCTTCTTTTAATTCAATGACTATAATAACTTAAAGTCTAATATTTTATTATCAGTTTAAATGACAATATTTATGTGGAATAACTCAGTTTACTTTATCAATTATCAAAATAAATTTAATTCAATATTTTCCATCAGAAAAAATTAAAAATGCTGTACAAAAAGTATAGTATTGGAAGATTAACGAGATCATATTATTTTCATCTTATTAAACATAAAACTGAAAATAATGATTAATAAATTTTTATACGTAAGAAAACAATAACTAGAGCTTATTTTTTCATTTTGGTTCAACCAACATTAACAGCATTTTCTTGTTTTATTATTTCAATTTTAAATTCCACTACAACTATTGTAAAAAATAATCTTATATTTTTCCCCTAATTTTATGAAAAGGACAATAATATTAGTATTTGCAACATACATTAAATCGTATTATATACTGACGAGAATATACAAAGGTTTGTATAAATATTGTGTTCTTGCATATTATGTCCACATTTTGAATGCAAGACACATAACATGTTAAGGAAAATTAAAAGGACTTTTCAAGGATATTCAGTTTATTCTTTGTCACAGAAAATGTTGTGTATTTTTTGGATTTATAATAAAAATGAATTCAACAATATTCTTTTATCTTAAATTCGCACATCTTGTTGTTGTTGTTGTCATTTCGTTTTATGTGTAAAGTTTTTTTATTTTTTTGTTTTTTTGTGAACATCTTTTCTTTATTATGGTAATAAAATTAAATTATAGTTTCCGTCTGCATTTTATGACACACAAGTAAAAATATCCTTATTTTTATATTTTCTTTTACTTTTACTACACCTCTTTTGTTTTCGTTTCTATTATTATTATTATGGCTTTGAAAAGAATATGCCATTTTGTTTGAGATGAAATTTAAGTAGTGATTATTTGATAATTTCAAAAAAAACCAACAAAAATAAAAAGTTCAAAAACTTCAGAAACATTTTTTCTTGTCAAAAGAAAAAAAAAATTCATACGACATAAAATGAAGAGTTTTTTTTCAAGATTCTAAAAATTGAAAATCATTCAATTTATTGGTTTGAAAGCCCTCAATATTGTAAAGTATAAGAATTTTTTATGTGCCTTATGATATTTGACCAAGTACAGACATTGAATAAAATGACTGTAAAGAGAATTGTTTTTTATATAAAAGTGCTGACAAAAATTTCCTAAAATGAAAAAAAAATAATGTACGTATGCATGTATATTTTCAATAGAGGTCTGTTAAATATGAATTTTATTACTGTTATTAAAAATGAATGAAAAATGTAAATTTTTATATGACATTGTAAAAAAAAAATTCAAATGTATGTATATTCTCCTAAAACTGATTAACAAGAAAAGAATATTTCAAATTTTGCATGAAAAATAAAGGACATTTTCTCTTTAAATAAGACCATAACTAACTTAATAAAACGAAAAACATTTTTGATTACATGAAAATTTGAATGTTGAAATGATTATCAGATGTACAAATTTTATGCATGGACTTAATAATTTTTAACATATTTAGCATATTTTGAGAACAGAACAATACAATCACAAGACCAAATATCTACATGTTATATAAGCAGAATAATTGTATAAGTACAGCATAGAGCTGGTATTTTATACAACAATAATTTGAAAAACTGAAATTCTAAATTTATAAAATTTTGCACATCTCTCATTCTGTCATTTATTGAGCGTTACAATGTAAAATATTGATTTTTACCCTACTTCCGCATAATTAGCAATATTTTGAGGAAAATATGGTTTATATATTATATACATTATGTGTATTATGTATACATGATATTAGATTTAGGCACAGTATTAGATGTAATACTAGATAATGAGTAAAAGAATATTACATTTTATTTTTATTAAAATGTAATTTCGATTAATATTTTTCTTGAGGATATTGTACAAGTATAAAAATTTAAACTGAGTCAGCAAGGTATATTGGGGTGCAAATTGGACTGCATTATTTGGAAAATTATTTAAAACTTTAACTTGAATGTTGTATGAAAAATTACGGGCAATTATATAAAAGAGCTTACAAAAATATTTAAAGTATTGTTATTCTTTTTACATAACACCAAAATATTTCACAAAAATATTGTTTAGTTATAACATTGGATTTAAAAAAAAATTAAAATGTTGTGTATATTTTAATGAAAGAAGAAATTCTTGATTCATAAACTATACAATAATGTGAAATATATTTAAAGAATTTATCTTATGAAGGAAAATCTTATGATTTTTATATAACAACATCCCATGAATAATTTCATTTCATTCCATTTCATTCCAATTTTATAATAAATGTTCTTTTCTGGAAAAACTCTCATTTGTTAATAAATTATATAACTGTATAAACAATTTACAATTATTTTATTTTGAAAAAAAAATGCTATTTAAATGAAGACATTTAAAAACATTGTCGCTATTCAGTCAGAAATTGTAAAATTTGTAAATTTATCAGAAAGCAATTATTCATTATTTTTGTAACATTATTCTAATTTCTAATTTTAAAATTTGTAATATTCATAAGTTATTTATTTTTCAAATTATAATCATTAAAAATATAATTTTTAATTAAGAAAATACTATCAATATAATATTACAATTTTATTTATATTTAAAAGAATGACTGCATTATATGAAAATTATATTTCGAATGACAAAAAAATAATGGAAAATCTAAAAAAAAATCTTATATTGACAACAAGTATAGCAATATCACTACATTCTTGTATACAAAAATAGCAATAGTGCATATTATGTAATTTGAAGAAGGATTTCTTCATACCTTCGATACCATTAAGGGCAGCATCCAACATAGAAGTCATCTTTCGAAATATCTTTTTTTGTTTTTTTTTTTAATTTTTTTTTATTTTGTTTGTTTATTTATTATTTAGAATTTCATTTGAGTTTTAATTAAAAATTATAAATATTAAAGATTTTTATTATAGGTATATAATGTATATAAATTTATATATACAAATATATTTAATATAAATGAATTTATGAGTGCAATATACACAATTAAAAATAAAATTCATTCGTTTTAATAGGTGCTATTGTGAAAATAAAAATTTATTACACAATATAAATATTGTATATTCTATATGAATATGGAAAGGTGAAATATAAATATTAAAAAGTATAGACATATTATATTATAATATTTATAAACGTATATACATTTTTTTATTAAAATATTAAAGGATTTTAATATTTATTTTAATTTAAGGAAAAATTTTAATTCATATTTTCTTTCGTATAAAATTTATTATCCTATTATCATGTTTTATAATAATTAAAATTATAATTGGACTAAAATTTTATGCTACGTATAAAAGGGCTAAATTCTATAAAAAAAAATAATGAATTTTTTAATTTCTTAATTTTATTTCTCGAATAATAATTTCAAGTTTTTGCTGAATTTTATTTTAATATACATATATATTAAAAATTTTGTGTTTACAGCAAATAACTTCGAATTAAATTTTATAAAAATTTTGCACTCAATGAAATAATCATTAGAAAAGAAAAAATTTTAGAAAGTTTTTTCGTGTTCGGATCAGTTTTCTTTTTGTTCTTCATTAAAATCAAATTCAGCAAAATATTTGATATTCCCCAGAAGAAACAACGAATTTTCAACTGTAGAACTAAAGTTCCCTTAACAAAAAAACTAATATGTCTTGACAATTTAAAAATTTGGAGAATAAAGACATAATAAAACTTGTCGAAATTCAACTAAAATCGGTAATTTTAAAGAAGAAAAACTATCAATTGCCAATATATTAAATTTTAATTGATTTAATAATGTTTTTTTTTAAATATTCGATTTCCAAAACTGTAACTTTAATCAAGTCAAAAAATTTTATTATTTATCATGCAAAAATTTCAAAGCTTTCAAGCAAATGTCTTAATTAAATACTTTTATTTGAAACTGCTGCATAACCCATATATCCCTTTTATTATAACTCAAACAACACTAATGTCACTTATCCAATTTCCTTAAATATTTGAAAATTGAGTTTTTACTCTTCATATACTTAGGTACATAAAATACAATATGCATCTACATATATCTAGTAAAAATGTTAAGGTTTTCTTTGTTAAATAAAAATAATATACAAAGCATTTTTCAATAATTTTTATGTGATTTTTATTTGCACTAAAATTCAATACAAAATTTTATATAATGTATATTCCTATGTACATTGTAAATATTCGAAAAATTTTTCTATAAAATATTTTTTCTGAAATTATGTTCTTTCTTGTTGTTATAATATTGTTAGATACCGGGGGATGATTTGATCGGTTCCGTATATTACGTAATTTATATAGAAATTTCTTTATTAATGTATAACATATTTGCAAAACTTTGAACTACATGACTGTGTATAATATTATTTTTAATGATGTTAGAAAATCTAGAAATTATACATCTATTCGAGTTTTATATTATAACAACGTATTAAAAAATATAGAGAAACCAACTTGTAATAATAGAATTGTGTACAAGAATAAATTCCAATTAAAAAATAATTAAGTATAATCTATAATTTTAAAAATTTTACAAGGTTCTTTTTCAATCATTATTTATATAATTTAAATTGGAAATGCAACTAGAAAAATCAAATGAGGAAAAGATCTTAGATACAAATTCGAATATTATTTTTTAATTTGCAGAACAGAAAATTATATACATACATACATGAATGCATGTACGTTAAAGCGTACTCAAACCTGGAAGAACGTAACGAAGGTAATATTTTCTAAACAAAAAATACATTTTATATGATTTTAGTGTATTTTATTCCTGCACTTCAAAATGTTCATTGAATTTGATTACATTTAGTTGGATTTTTTTTTATTAGCGAAAAATTTACATCAAACTAAAACTGAAGTATTTTGTGTACAAAAAATTTAATGTATTTCCTTTAATAATATCACATTTCGAAACCAACCAAAATATATGAGAGAAAATTTGCTGGAATTTGCAATACAAATAATTTTAATATAATCTTTCGTATAGAAAATTTTGAATTTATCTAAATGTAAGACATGTGTTCCTAAAATTTTTGGTATAAAAATTTTTCAGTTCAGAATCGACAAAAAGGAGTAGAAATTGCAATAAAAAGGAGTAAATATAAATAATATTTACTAATTTTTAAATTGCCTATCCTGCACCTCGCCGGCAGTCCTTAAGTAATCTTAAGTAAAATCTTAAGTAAAAGATGTGTTAAAATTAAAAATACATTAAAATTTTTGATTATTTATATTCAGTCGATTTTAACTGATGAAAATTACTGTACAGGAAAGATAGGTCCTGAATTAAAATCAATAGTTAGGGTTCACTTTTGACAATAGGAAATCAAAATTTAATTGAAAATTTCCAGAAAAGCTACTTCAAATAAATATTTGCTTAATATCACATTATCTGGTTTTATTTAAAGGTTTCCATATAATTTTCAAAATTCATAAACATGCACAAAACTTTTCTATCACCTAAAGCAAAATGATATTTTTCTTTTTTAACTCCAGTTTTCTTTTTAAATCTTAAAAAAATCGATAATATTGTCGAAAAGAATTTGTATATTTTATTATTTAATATATTTTATATTGATATATATGCGTACAAATATACATATATTTATGTACATATGTTACACTTAAATGAATTTGAAACTATTATATAAAATAATCTTACCAAAAGGACAATAACTCCAACAGCAGCTAATGCAACTGTATACCAATTCGATTGAATCCATTTTTTGAAAGAAGCAATACTCTCTTCAGATAGTAATAATTTTCTAAGAGTTGCCAATGGTCCAGATGGATCAACTTCTCGACATTTTTGGAAGACGTCACAGTATCTAGAAAAAGAAAAAATAAAAAATTTTATAAATATTTTAGAAGTATCTATATACATATATGTATGTATATGTTCACGTAAAGAAAATTTAAAAATAAACAAAATTTAAAAATAAAAATATTTGGTAGAAAATATAGAATTATTCTAAACTGAATTGAAAATATCAAATAATGGAAAATACATACACATATGTGAGTGGAATTTATTCATATAAGTATATATGTACGAGTACGTTTGTATGTAAGCAAATAATAAATATTAAAATATTAAAGAAAATATTCTTTTTTTGTTAAAATAATAAAATAAAAATAAATATTGAAATTTTTTTTAGTCAAATTTCGAAGGAAAAATGAATGACTTGTATTGTCGTTTTTGCTTTGTCTCCCTAAAATTATGCAATGTGAATATATTTTTTTTTATTTATTATTCATTATTCGAATTCGTATTTATTTGTCGATAAAATAATATTTGATATTTTCTATTTATTGAGTAAAAATTTCTTAAATAATAAATTGAAGAATAAATAAAATAATTTTTTTTATAGCTAGTTATAGATCATAAGGAATTTTTTAACAAAATTTGAATTAATAATGATAAAAGAATATTGTTAAAATGCGATATTTAAATAAAATAAAGTTATTATTTTTGACTGCAATGAAATATAGGCACAAGAGTAAATTGTAAGCCGAATTTTAGCGTTTTTTTAAAATTAAATTAATTTAGATTAAGAAATTGAAAGTTTTATAACAAATGTTTCAAAATTTTAGTCAGTTTTAATTCAAGAATAAATTAAGCAGAAAAGTGATTTTATTAGGTTCTTGTTGATTTTCACAAAATTGTTGATTTATTAACGACTCATTTGCAGTAATTCAATAATATTTTATTGCCATATACCTCAGAAAATATATCTAGAATATGTGAGTATGCTTTAGTGTTACATCGGTGACGAAATACGTCACATTTTTCATATTACAGGTATTACAAGTGTCACCAAAATATTAAAGAAAATATTAATTTATAAATACTTGTTGCGACCTTTTAAAAATTTGATAATGTTTTCAAAATTCTAAGAAATAAGAAATCAACTAAAACTTTAAGCAAATTAAAATTATAAAAAGGACTATATAAAATGAGGACTAAATCTTTTCATATTTAAATGAAATCTGATTCAAATCGCTCATATTTTAAAAATCAATAAAAAATCGTACACAAAAGAATTATCTTATTTATTAATTTTTTGGAATTTCAATTGATTATTGCTAGAAACGTATTCTCTTATCTTTGAATATAAATATGTACCGTATATATTAAATAAATTGTTTAAATGTCTAGATGGTGAAAAAAGCCACTTAATAAAATCGGTAAAATACTTTTGTGTTATTAAAACTTCAATTCTTTTATTTTCATATATTTTTAATTTTATTTTAGTCTACTTAAAATTTTCTGCTCATACATATTTATACTTATGTGAGTTGTTAACCGAATATTTATTATGCACACAAATGTGCATATATCGGAAATATTGTGTCAAGGATATTTGTAGAGTATAAATATATTCGTAAGTATAATTTAAAACATAAAATTTATTGCACAAAAAAAGTAAAAATAAAAAGAAAAGTGAAAATTTTTTTTTATTTTTATTTCTTCATTTCCATTTGCGAGAAAGTTGCAAAGTGACTCTTTAAATTGAACGTTAATATGTTTTCATTTTTATTTTTAATTTTTTGTTTTTATGATTTTTTATTACTACCACACTTTACTTTACTGCTTATTCTTGTGTGCTGGTTATAAAATGGTAAATGTTTCATGAATGATATAAAACATGAAGTAGGTACTTTTTAAAAATTAATACAAGAAAAAACGAAAAAAGAAACAACAAAAACAATGATAAGAATTTGAAGAAAAGAAAGAAAATGGAACACTTTTGGAAAATAAAATCAAATCAATTATCCTTGAAATACTTTTCTTTTTATACATATATGTAGGTATGTTTAAAATATGTGCTTTTCAGCCATTGATATTTTATGCTTATGGAATATGAAATTATAGATATAGACAATGCTAACAAAACAAGAAAAATAATGTATGAAAAACAGAAGCAAAAAAAAACTTTGATTTTGTTTTTTTTTTTGTTGCCCACACTATACCACAAAAATTTTTCTTTAATTCAACTGAAATTCCGTATTTTACTTAAAAAAAAAAATGAAGTTTATAAGCAAAATTAAAATTACAATGATATCAGAAAATGATAAGAAAGACAAAAGCAAAAAAAAAAAACTAAAGGAAAAAATTGGGATTAAAAAATAAGGTTTGTATAAGGATGAGAAAATTACAAAAGAAAAAAAAACAGGAATTTCGAATTTTTCACATTATCCTGGCTAACAAAAAAAAATAAAAGATTTGTTTTCTTTTTATGATTTTTGAATATTTTTTTTATGTATGTTAATGTTTTGTATTAATTTAAAATTTTTTGTTTTATTTGGTATTTAGAATATGCATAATACTCGTATATACAGTAGAGGATCAATTGTAAATTTCGCAGACCGAAGCCGAAATTAATTAAGAGCTACCGCATATCGTCTGATATAAGACGGTACCGCATATCGTCTGATAGGCTTAGTACAAACATTTATATAAATAATAAGAATACAACTACAAGATTCTTGAAAAGATTTTGGAATCTTCGGAAGAAATCGGAATATTTTCCCACGCATAAAATATTTAAGAAAATTGCTCAATTAAGTTCTACCAATTGTAGTTGAATTTAATTCCATATCTTTACGCTTTATTATTTACTAGTTCAGTTGTTGGAAGGAATTTCATCACGTAATAATTTTTGAATTAGGATAAATTAGCTGGTGTATCAAATTATTGAATAATATAATTGTTATAGGTAATTTTACTTTATCAATAAATTATCAATAAATCTTAATCAAAGACTCGTAACTTTTATGATCTTGAACTCTTATATATCTCAATTTGAACCCCGTGTTCAACAATACGAAGAGTTTAAATGTCCACCATTGTAAGTTCTTTCAGAAATTTGTTTAAATGTAAGTAAGTATGTGTGAAATAAAATTTTCATTTAAATTCTTTAATGCATTTTACTTTATTTTTTTATGTTTAATTTTCCTTTTTTTTTAGAGTTTTTTATTACTTTTTGTGTTATTATAACTTACAAAAAAAACCCTCAAAATGGTATCAGAATATTTTCATTTTTTTTTTCTTGTACATGAGTAGAAAAGTTTGTAGAGTTTTAGAGTGCATGAATATTAATGATAAAAGTATAAAGTTAAAAAAAAGCAAAGTAAGAAGCATATAATATTTCCTTTTGTTTTTGTAGTATTAAAAATTATTTGTGTTCTAACCAAATGTTGTTTTCTGACCACCTATTAAACTATCGTCTGTTTTTTTCTGGTATCTACACTTTTGAGAACATGACGGAAAAGTTTTCGAAAAAAACCATTTAAAATTTTTGATTCCATTTACATTAGTAACACAATATAATATTAGATCATGGATTCTAAGATGTTAGATCCCGACAAGGTAATAGAAAATGCTAGTTATTAGTTTAGTTAAGATTTTTGGTTCTCTTTGTTATTTGTGCCAGAAAATTTTCCTAATAATTATTTCCAATTTTTCAAAATCCTTAATACATTTGCAATTTTGTTGGAACATTTTATTTATATTATAGTTAAGTTTTTGTATATGTTATCCTAGCAAATTTAGTACGAGTATTTAAATTTTTTCCAAATTACACAATGTGATATAATTGTGAACACAATGTCGTTGTGAATAATAACATTATATTCTAAAACTTACCCGTTATAATCATTGCATGGTGTTCCTGGTTTAGCAAACATATCTGGTACATCGTATGGCTGTTCATTCCATTCAAATGAACTTTTACATGATTTACCTTCACCCGGTTCTTTACAACATAATTCACATGATTTTGTTTTTGGATCATTTGGACCAGGAAGACATTGACATGATTCTAAACCAAATGCTAAACATATTGAGCCAGTACATTCACCCATATAACATACGAATTCTTTATTACATATTGTTTTATTTGGTTTATTAACACTTGGTGGACATTGTGGTTGTCTACCATCACAGAAACTTGGATCACGGCAACCATTGTCATCTCTACATTTATCACCAAATTTTAAATTACATTGTGTTGTACAACATGGTCCCTGTGATGGACTACACATTGCTCTCGGTTGTAATGTACACGGTCTTTCATCAATACGTGGATGTCTTGACATTGGAAAACAACAAACATCATTACAATCTTCTTCCCAACCGCAATCACATTCTTCACCAGGTTCAACAACACCATTTCCACATATTGACGTTTGTGGTTCTGTAAAACAGCCTTTTGCACTGCGCGCTTTTGCATTTAATACTGGTTCAATTGATTTCAATGAACATGGTGAAAATTTATTGTTGTTTCGTTTATCACCGGATGTTGCACGAGCAAACATTATATAATTACCATCTTCACCACCTGGAGTGCATTGTTCAGGATCATGCTAAATATTTAAAATATATATTGAAAATGAAATTAGAAAAATTAAATTATTTAATGATTTTAGGAAATTTGAAAATTAAAATAAACATTTTATGTGAAATAAATTAATTTTGTTTATTTTTGTGGATATCAACAGACGAGATATATTGGATAAGTACATTATATGTATGTATATTTATATTGTAATAATACAGTTATACAAAAAATCTCATTGGATTAGCATTGACTTTAGTTTTCATTAGATTTTTCATGATTATTTCTAAAGATTTTCTTACTGATGCAGTAGGAAGAATTTTGACAACAGTTGCAATAAATCAAAATTTTTTATTCGTTTTCGATTTAGCACGCGGTTCTTCCTTTTTTGAAAAAGAAAATATTAATTCGAAACAATTGCAAATTTCAAACTAATTTTATAAACCAAAAAAAGAGAATATTTCGATTTACTTATGTCTAAAAATTCATAATAAACAGTAATAATTTTCAAATTAATTGATTACTGAACGCTTTCACAATTATTATGCGGTTAGATTACTGAATAAAAATTATATTTAATTTCCTAAGTGATAATTAACCGAAGTTTCCTTAAATAAATTTTTTCTTTTTTCATGGTTAATGAAAATAATTTTTCACTTTTCGCAAAATCACTATGAATTCCACCCAAATTTTAATGAACAGAATGGAATATCCTTTAATTAGCAAAAATTCTCCATATTTTTCCGATTTTTTTTTTGTTATATTTTCTTGCTTGTTCTTCTTATTTATTCAAAACTTTTCCCTTATAATCAATCATTTATTGTAAATTAACATAAAATATTAGAAAAATTATCCTTTTAATATTTTATTGCTAAAAATTATAATAAAAGTAGATTTTAATTATTTTAATCTTGTCATTATTTTTTTTTTTGCTTAAGAAATAAGAGAGAAACAAAAGTTATGAACAAAAGTTGGCCAGTCTATTTGAAAAATACTTTGTTTGTTTTTCTTTGTAATTTGGAAAAACATTAATTACACAATTTACAAATTTAAATACTTTTAAAGGATGGAAAAGTGTTCTTATTAAAGTGGGGTAAATTATGTTTTAAGATTTTCTAAGAAAAGGAAAATTATTTGAAATGAGAAACACAATATCAACTCATAGTAAGTATTGTTAGGTGATTTTATAGAATTATGTCATCACCTGCTTAATCAATAACTGCATGTGTTGAACAAAATTTTGTTGGTAAGAAAGGTGATAAAAGGAAGTTTTGAATTTACGATATTTTATATGATTAGAATATGTACACGCATTCAAAAATATTTTACTGGAAGTAGAATTTTCCAATTTAATTGATTTTATTATGTTAAATAATTAAGCAACAAACTATGATTATATCTGTCCTATGTCCTAATTTTTCGGCATTGTATACGAGATCATATTAATTTTCTGTATAATGGCTCTGCAATTCGATTTCCTTCTGATTTTATAAAATATTACGAATGAAATAACAAATTAATGTCGAAATTTTTTAATTAATTTTTGTTTTTTTTTTTTATGGATTTCAAATAAGAAGATAGGAACAAAATTTGTTTGAATAGGACTTTCAAAATGAGTCCCTAAAATTGTTGCAAAATACTTTATTATTCCTTCTTTTTTGTTTAATTATTGCTGAACGATTAAAAAAAAAACAAAATGAAACTTTTCTAATTTTGTTCAATTTTCGAAAATTAATAAAAAAAAAAACACTTGATTCGATGTTTTTAATTCAGAGCACGATTTTACTATGAGTTTTTATTTATTTTACTTTTTTAATGAAAAAAGGAAAAAAAAACACCCTTGTTTATTAAATTCTATAGCTACGAGTACTACTATATTCACTGGTATATACAGTGACATTTCACAATATATTTATACCTATAAGTGCGTGTTTATAAAATTTTAAGGATTAAATTTCGAGGTTAATTAATTTATCTTATAAAACAAAGAATTAAGAAAAAAATATTCTTTTTCTTCGTTCTTTTTCGCAAAATTTCAACTTATCAAAATGAGGAAACAAAATTTATTGTTGTTTTTTTTTTTAATGGAAGGACGGATATTAAATGAAAATTTATTCTTACGAAAAGTTATTAGAAAAGTTATAAAATTGCTCTAAATGGATTAAGTAAAAAAAAACTAAAAACAAAACAAAAATTAAACAAAAATAAAAATGCAAAAAAGAAAAGAGAAAATGAAATCAAATCATATTGGAGTTTGTTATGATTTGATTACGGTACTGGACATTTTCTGAGATGTAATCCGTCTTATTTTTTTTTCCCTAATTTTTTCATTACATTACTCTAACTCTTCGTTTTATTTATATAGGTATCCATAAAGATTCAAAATTTGAAAGATAAGAATTCCTTAAGGATGGATAAGAAAATTTATTTTTAATTTAAATTTTTTGAAAGACGTAAAAATATGTTGGTATTTTAGTAAAAATTTATTAAAAGACTTTTGAGAAGCCCATTATTCTTCATGGTTTAAGCATAAAATCTTATATTTTTTTTTAGATTTTAAAAATTTATGAAGTACCTAGCCTTATTTTGTTAGAATAGTTTTGAAAATTTGTGTACGGTGTAATAAATTTTTAGTAATCAGACTAATATGAACATTCAATTATATTTGAAAATGAAGGTTAATATAGTAGATTACAAAATTTAAATTGAAGTAGCTATTGGAACGGGATTTTGTTTCAATAATTTTAATATTCTATTGTGTTTGCTAAATATTTGATTTCATAGTGTTTCCTGAATACTTTGTACATTGAAGCGATAAATTAAAACTTATTTATTTAAGCTCTTTTTCGTGGACAATGCATTTTAGTCCTTTTATTTATTGTGTTTTTGTAAAACTCGTAAGTATTAAAGTAATTCTCGTACTCTATAATATCGAAAATCAAGTCATTAAAATAATATCAAAAAATTTTAATTTAGAATTGGAAAAACGAATAGAGTCCACTGAAGGAATTAATTCTAGAAAATAAGTGAAGTAATTTTGTCGAGTAAGAATTGTAAAACATCTTTGATCGGCTGAATCAGTTTTATTCACAAAAATTTAATGAATGAAAACGAAAGATTATAATTGAAAATTTACAACTTCATACTATGAGAATATTGTTATTGAAAACGACTTCCTTTTGCAGTTTTGTTCATGTCAAATATTATAATACAGAAACTTGAATTGGTTACGAAATATTATTACGATTTTACACAGTAATATTTTTTATGCATTTGATATTTTCTTACAAGGTTGGGAACAAAAATTGGTTGAAAAAAAACTGCACCTATAAGTATGAAAATTTATAACTTGTTTCAGAACAAATTATTAAATTTGTTTCAAAATTATCAAAATGTTTAAAAAGTATTTGACTAAAAAATTTAAAACTTAATCGGGAGAAAAATTCTGATTTACATTCTCCTTTAGCCTAAATACAATATTTTTGTGACTTAAAATAAAATATTTGGATAAAAAAGATTTTTCAAGATAACTATCGTGAGATTTTGCATGTAAAAGGTAAAAAAAAATAAATATAATATTTAAAACTAAATCTTCTTATGTTTTACAAAGCAAAGGATAAATTCTTTCAATAGTAATTTTATGCAAAAGCCGGTCACTAATATTCACTTCCTTTTATTATTGCCAAAAGAAAAGAACAACATTTTTAATAGTTTTACTTGTGTTGTGCTTTTGTGTATATGAAGATGGTTATGTTATGCTTGTAACACTACTTTATATAAAAACATTTTTAGAAAACCGGTTTTCAAATTCTTGTGTTCAAATATGAAAGGCTTTATAAATAAAAGAAAAAGCATTAGCAAAATATTGTACCTACTCTAAAATAAGAGTATATAAAAATTTTATTACAAAATTTTTTAATGGCTTATCTTCTATTTGTTCATACTTTTTTTCCTCTCGAAATTTATATATTACATACATACGAGTACAAAAGGATTATAGAGACAAGAACATGTAGCAAAATATGTGGATGTTATATAGGATTCTGAATGAAAACAAAACCTTGCGCGCAGCGTCTTCAAGATGTTAAGCTGCTTGCTTGTGGATGACGAGCTTCGAACAGAAACAAATTTAATTAATTTCTTACTACTTACAGAGAATTTTTGGAAACTGTGTATCCTAAATAAAAATTTCAGGAATTTTGTAATCTAGCGGAAATAAAATCATTAGTTTGACAAGACTTCAAAATTATTGTTTATTAAAGTTTTTACTAAAATATTTTTCAAAAATTTTAAACAAATAAGCAAATTTTATGCTTTTTAAGTAATATTTATGCTTTTATTAAGCATTTAAAGAGAATATTTTAAAAATAGTCAAAATATTGCATATTTTTGGGTCATTTCTGGTAAAATAGGCTTTTTTTTTTAATACGAGTATTAACGAAAGTAAAACTGAACAAAATTATCATTTTTGGGAAGAATGTCTTCCCAAAATCAAAATGAGTAAACATAGATAAATTAATGATTTTAGAAAATAAATAAATTATTTGCGAGATTTCTCATTTAATATCGTAAAAATAGAATTTTGGCATTACGTCGTGTTCAAAAATGTTTCTGGAAAGAATTTTATAAAACTCCCTGTTAAAAAAGCCTTAGTGCTTGATAATAAAAAATGTTTTTTTTTTCCTTTTTTTTAAATTGAATGTTAACTAGTTGTTTATGTCAGTATATTGCCTTAAAACATAAGTTTTATTATCCTTCAACGATTTTTCTATACGAGCTTCATTTTTTTTCTTATAAATAACAGTATTTTATTCTAAAGTCTGTTATTGTGCTACGTTTTTAAAATAAGAATTACTATGCGGTTCATGAGCTTGTGATTTTAAGCCTCTTTAACGAAGCAAAAAGCAAGTAAAATTTACATTTCTTTCAGTATTGCACGAACAGTAAATATTAATATTTTGAACAGATGCTCTTATTTGTTATGATATTGCAAAAGTTGTATTTCGCTAATGGTCCGAAATAAAAGAAATGGCGCAGAACAGAGTCAGATGACGAAGCTTTGTAGATGCCCTATGCTCCCAAAGGAAGTAAAAAATTAATTGTAAAAATTTCGCTAGAAAAAAATTTTCTTAGCGAAATTCAGAATATTTCGGTTTTAAAAAATTTTTCTTTAAATTTTAGAATACAAAAATCAAACACAAATATTGTATAAGGTTTTAAGTTTAAAAATGTTTTCAATTTATATTATTCATCAAAACCCATAATAAGAAATTGGAAAACTGTGTAAATAGAAGATCACACAGATGGTAGGCAATGTATTACAAATATTTGCGTATTGAAAAAAGTTTATTGACTTCACTTCTTCAATATGATTTTGTTATGTGAATATGCTTGACCTAAGAAAATTTCTGCACCAATATCGAAAAATATTAAAGGTTATTATCTCTTATTTTTTTTCTATGCTATGCACAGTTAGTCATTAAAAGTTATTTGTTCGTACATACGTGTATATAGTAGCTGAACAACAATCCTTTTGTCAGTATGATTTTGTATTACATTGAAAAATACACCATGCGTTTTGTTCTGAAGTCGCTAAAATGCTGTATAACAATATAAAAAAAAATCTGATGTGGTCAGCACATAACCGACCGCATTGTGTATTGTCTAGTTAAATGAAAGTGTTACAGAATATTATAAAAATGTCTGTTAAATACTTCGTTCCAATTTTTAGGACATTAGTAAGCTTATAGTTAACATACTTAGAAAAATGTAAATTTGGCTCTTAGTAGAGTTTTGCTTTGTGCTACCCGAATTCCCTGAAATGCTCGCCAGTTAGTTTCGGTAACAACCAGAACTCAAATATCAAATTTCAAGAAATTCCATAAATTTGTTCTGTGGATATGGTGAAAAATGTAAAATCGGCCCGCAAATCAGTTCTCGAGCCCTGATCTTTCCAAAAAAGTTATATGTTCATTGGTTTAATATGAGGAATTCATATATTAAATTTCAATGAAATCGGTTGATTATTTCTCTTTATATACACAAAAGTGTATGTTTGGCCCGTAGTAAACGTCTAGTTGCCGATGCCTGATCTTTCCAAAAAATTTACATGTTCATTGTTTTAATACGAGGAATTCATGTATTAAATTTCAATGAAATCGGTTGATTATTTCTCTTTATATACACAAAAATGTATATTTGGCCCGTAGTAAACGCCCAGTTGCTGACGCCTGATTTCTTCCAAAAGTTAGGAATTTTTGCGTATGATCGAGCAAAGCTTATATATGAAATTTCAAGTAAATCGGTTGAATACTTTCTTCAAAATGGTGAGAAATGTAAAATCGGCCCGCTAAAAAGTGCAGTTCCCGAGGCCTGATATATACCAAAAGTTGATCGATCCGTGCCATGGTGGAAACAAACTTACATATAAAATTTCATCAAAATCGGTTCAGCCGAACTTGAGATACACGCGTGCACACACAGACCGACAGACCGACAGACCGACAGACCGACAGACCGACAGACCGACAGGTTGCTAAAAATAGTTTATTTACACTTCCCTACTATGGAGAAGTACGCTCCCACCGAAAACTCGATATGCAAAATTTGTTGCCATCACATAACCTACCTATTGTTTACACAATACGGTCGGTAAAAAGATACAGTGGCGGGAACAAGATTTTCTTTTGTTTTCATTGCTTTCATTGTTCTTATATTTTTATTTTATTTTTTAGAATAAAAGTTTTTCTATTCAAAAACTAAAACAAAGTCAATTTAAATGGTTGAGTTTCCCTTTTATTCGCCTTTGACGTTTTCAATTTGTTTCAACATAACTGAGAAAAAAAATGGAAAGGAAAGACCTGCTTATAAAAAAGGCTTGTTGCTTTAAAACTTTCGTTTATACAATAAAGTTATATGAGGGTGATTAATGAAAAGAATTCGCTTTACGGGTGCTAAAGATCCGAGACTTTCAAACGAAAGTTGATAATGCACCATACTCATTTCACTGATGTTAAGCTTTTTTCATATTTTTTGCATTAAAAATGTTATTCAATCATGCAAACTTTAGAAATTTATTTATTTCTTGCAGTATACTTATAGAAATTGTAAAATGGTAAAGAAACTACACATTTTCATTTTAATTACAGAGGAGCAGCAAGGAATTGGTTTTCTAATTATTTGCTGTAATTATATTGTATTTAATTTGTGTGTATTTAATGAGTATTTTCTCAAGACTTTTGATGATAAAACTCTCAGAAACATTCTTAAATATGTCCGGTATGATAAAATATATTGAGTACGCAAACATAAATCTTTCTCCTGTACTCAATGGTCTTATTTAATAGAACGCTGGATAATAAAAGCTATCTAGAAGTTTAAAGTTTTTCCAAAATGCAGAATTCTTCTTTATACTATTTCATTAATTACTCTTTCTTTGACTTCCGAAAAATCAATATTAAATAAATGGTGTGCACAATATTTTAAACAATTTTTTTCACAAACTCTTATTTAATTTATGAAACTTTTATGAGAAAAATCAAAGGGAAAAATACCAAACTAAACTAAATTTAAAAACTTCTAAAGCATAAAATATGTTTATTACTTTATATTACGTTATTATATATATATATATATATTAAATATATATATATTTATAGTATCAAAGATATTATTATATTCAAAATCTATTTTTATAAATTATGCAAAATTTGAAAAGTTTGAATGAAAAGTGGCTTTAGTCATCCTTGAAAAGTTATAAAAACTTATCCTTTTATATATAAAAATATTTCTTAAATTATTGGCTTTCAAATAATATTCGTATATATTAAAATATTTAAGTGAATGAAGTTTATTTAATGTTCATAAACATTTTTAATTTTATGTTTGATAATTTTTTTCTTCAATAATGTTCTGTTATATTGTTCGCTATAAAATAAATTTTAAAAAATAATTTTATTATGAACTCACAGGTGATCCAAAATTATGTCCGATTTCATGAGCTAATGTAACATGCGACACAGCTGGTGGTACATGTTTTCCATAATTTAATAATGTTACAATTCCAGTGTTTAATGATTTTAATGAGCCACGATAGTGCTGCAAAAAATAAAAATAAAATTATTTATTAATATTAAGTATAACAATATGCAAATTTTATTTTATTGACTTTATTATATATTGGATATACTCGCGTTTGTAGATTTGTATGTATTATATTCATTATTAGACATAAAATAAATAATTTTAAACAAAAGGGTTAAGACCTTTAAATAAATAATATTTTATTTGAACGAATATTTGTACATAAATATATTAAAGTAATTTTACAAAGGAGCTTCGAAGTATTAAGGATAAAATATTTTTGTATAAAAGGAAAAAAATGCTTGCTTATATCATATACTTAGATTGAAATTTGGAATTCCCTGCTGGTAACTGTTGAATAATCAGAAAATAATCACAAAATATAATAATGTTGAACGTGTTTTTTTGTTTTTTATGGAGGTGGTCTTGTATAATAAAATTTTAGTTTTAGAAAAACAGTAAACTTGTATAAAGGTTTTTTTAATATAAATAAGAAAGAAATAGTTTTGACGCAAATTATATAAGAAAAATAATTGGGAATACAATGAAAGTGGCCATTGTTTCAGAGATTCCTGAAATATATATGTTAAAAGTATATGTAGAACATAATATGTTTTCTGTAGTCAATTAAAAGTTAGAACATTGCTAAAATTTTATTCATTGAACCAAATAAATAGCTTTATTGTATTATTATTTCGTTCTTTGACTTCCAAGAACTTATAATTTTACAAGAATTTCATTGAGTCAACATTTTCAACTTTTTTAAATCTGTTTTAAAGTGATTGGTTCTTATTTATCACTATTCGCTATCATTAATTTAAAATATTCATACTTCCCTTCTTATTTTTCTTATTCAAACTTAGTTCATTGATTTTATTTTTCTGCTTTACACATAACATTAAGTATATTTTGAATAAATTAAATAGAACGAAATAATTATTATTAATAAAATCGGAAATTAAAACTAATCTACATAATATGTAATAAACCTAATTATACATTTTCAATTTTTTTTTTCAGATTTAATAAAAGTAATAAAGCAAAAACTTATTAAAACGCCTATATACACACACTTGATTCAAATCTTATATAAACCACTTATTATTTAAATATTATATGAGTTAAGTATTATTTAATATCCGTTTCTAAATCTGAAATCATCTACATATTATTATGGTATAGTAAAAAATGTGTGTACTATATTTAATTGACCGGAAGTAAACTTTCATCTTAAAAATTTCTATTTATTTATAACATATAAGTGGGTTTATTATAATATATTATTACAGGGTCATTCTAAAGGTAAAATTATATACAATAGCATATTACTCGTATAGTCATAAAGAAAACGCATAAAAAAAGTGAAATATTTAACAAATATAGGAAATGAGCCTTATTTAATAATAAATATTAAATAATTATTTTCAGGAATTATTAAATTTAACACATTTAATTTTAAATGCATTTAGATATTTTTTGGTATATATACAATACTGGGAGTAAATAATATATAGCTAATAATGAATTTGAATACTAATAAATCCGATTGGAATTCACAATTTTTTATTGAAGCAAATATTTGTAGACAATAATAATAATTACTTAATGACTGAAGCAAAAATTAGAAGTTATTCCCTATACTTTTGAACACTTTCAATACAGAAAATGTAGTTTCATTGAATTGTTCTCAGGAAAATTATTATACAAATTAGTATAAAAACAATAAATGTTATCAAGCGCTTCGAAAGATTGATTTAAAATGTTTTAAAAAGTGTAGATAATCGACAAATGGAACTGGTCATGAAGGCACTTAAAGAACAAGAATAATTTTCTAAAGGAAGGAATTACTCGCTCTCAAAGAAATATTGAATATTATTCCACATTTTTCATTAGATAGCAGGGATCACAAAAATATATTGTTCTTTCATACAGACATAAGTGTGGGGACATTTGTTTCTTAAAGGAAATTATAAGGATTAATATGCAAAAAATCAATGAGAAATAAAAAAATTTTATATAATTTCAATTTTGTATTTGGATTTGTTTTTTTGGTTCTCAAGATTGAAATATCTGCTTTAATTATGGGAAGATAAAAAGGGTTTTAATTTTTCTATGTTCACTGTAAACAGAAATCGAAATAGTTTAGGAGAATCCAAAGCAATAACTCTATTTGAATTGAGTTAAATTAAGTATTTGCTAATTATTGATAAAAATTTTACTGAATCAAGAAATTTTTACTATATTAAAATATTTGTTCTTGCAATTTCTAATTTGATTTCATTTCATTCTCGCATTTCATGTCCAAATTACGTGTCTACCTATATGTTCCTAAATACAAACAAGAGTTAATATATAAAATTTACATGTAGATTCAAATATTAAAATTAATAAAAAAATTGTAAACTTTTTTCTTGAATTTGTTTTTATATAATATTTTTTGTGTCTACATAAGTCACACATTTTCCAGTATACAAATAAAATTTTTTAGTTCTGTCAATTTTATTTTATGCATCATTCATCTTCCTATCATACTTTTGCGGGCCCTCCTTATTACGATTTTAGTTGAATATGGTTTTTAATTTAGTTTATTTACAAAAGTATTCTGATATTAAACACATTAATATTATTATCATTTCAATGTTATGAAAATATAAAAGGATATATAGGCACTTATGTTTTAAAAAGAGGAAATAAGAAGGATTATTATATATAAAGACCCTATAATATATAATTTAATATTGGTATGAGTATCCCATTAAAACGGCCACATATTTATACGCTTCACATAAGATGTTTCCTTATATTATAAAAACGATAATTATACGCTTGAGAAAAACTTGAGGGAAATTTATATATAAAGAAGAATATCAATGTAAACTTTTTATACATGTATGTAAGTATCAGAGTCGCCGGCTCCATACATTAAAGAGAATAAGTGCTTCTCTTGGAGTTTGGGCAAAAAACCATTGAAAATATTTGAATTCTTCAAAAAATTTTATTTATTCTTCATTTTGTATAAAAATTTACCGAGCTCCTCGAATACTAATAAATTTTACTTTTAGCCACGTTTTTTACTTAGTTCAGAAAAGTCTGTTTATAGTTTAGGTTTCTAAGATATGAATAGTTTTTCAAAGGTAGCTAAAAGGCATAAACATTGGACAGTTCACATTTCCGTCTATATGAAGTGTCTAAAAACTTTTCTTTAATATAGAAAATTACTCTTTTTCATTTGTAATAATTTAAAATTTTTCATTTTTATTGCTTAGTTTAAAGCATGGAATGGTTTAATTTGGTTTAAATCTGCATAGTTGAGAAACTCAATGGATCTTTTTCTAATCTTCGTTAAAAAATTCATTTTACTTTCTTTATATAAAAAATGTGTGTTCCCTCTCAAAATTTCACGCCTCGTCACTGATATGTATATATGTTTGCACTTTATATATGAATATATGTATCCATATGTTTATAAATATAAGGGTATTAAATTATATATTATGGATACTCATGCAATTTAAGGGGCATATGCTCTCAACTTGTTTTTTTTTTCCGTATATATGTATAACTTCTATTTACCAATTTTATTTTCAGGTTGATGTTTTCAGAACATCTATTCCGTATAACAACATAATATGTATGTACGAAGATTTTTATGAACTTGTATATTTAGAAAGAATTTGAATTGAAAAAAAAATTAAAACGAGATTTCATTTTCCTTTCTATTTGTTTTTTTTTCCTATAAATGTGTTCAAAATCCAGTAGGAACTATGAAAGATCTTGTTTGTATAGGATTAATAGAAAGTATTATTGTACGTGGTTTTAAGAGGAGCGGCACATTATGACGAAATATTTCAATTGAATATATATTTGCATTTAATGTTTAATATAGACAAGGATTGGTAGAGATATGCATATTTAATTTAATGTACATAAATATTTGCATATGCCTTTATTGATTAAATAATGTTTGTCCATGTGCAGATATTATATAGGTTTGCAAGCATGCAAAGATGCAAACTGATGATAGAGTTGTGAAAATTTTAAAGTTGCATTTGAAAACAAAATTTATATAATTTAAATTGACATTTTATGTTATTGAATTTTAAGTTTGAAGTTTATTCTCCCAGAAATTTTTGCTTATTATAATCAAAAGTTACTTTGCGGATGAGAAAGAAGGCAAAATTTTCTCCGCCTCGCTCTAATATTGTGCTTTGTTAATTTCGTCTGTTACTGAGGAACAGTAACTTCGGTTATTTAGACGCAACTAAGGATAAATTACGATTACCAACTAACGATTAGTAATCAATGGAATTTTTAATTCTTAATGCTTGTCATTTTCACAAATAATTTCTTTTTTAAATTTCTCGATTCACCTTCGATTAAGAAATTTTTGTATTGAAATTGTTCTCAGTCAGCTATTTATTTCTTCGTTGTTTAAATAGTTTTTCGCTGTCACGTAACGTTATTGCAAGGACATTTCGGAAAAGTAGTAGTCCCTGGAGTGTGATCAAACGTGTTAACACATTTTTTTCATTAAAAGAAAAAACCTTAGATAAAATCAACAAAATTTTCAGATTTTCGATAATTTTTATTATTGTTGAAGGTCAAACAATGATTTTTATTTCCGTTTTAGTTTGTTACTGCAATTTTCTTATTTGTTTAAAGAATTATACATTCACTTAGCATATAAGGCCTTTTACAGCAATAAAATATTAAATTTATTTACTTATAGTATGTATTTTTCAAGAAAAGATGAAATATTAATAAAAAACGAAAACAATAAAGGAATGTTTTTGCAAAAAAAAATCATAGCAAAAAGCAAGAAAAATTTAAGCTGGGAAGGATTCGAAATCTTTTTCTCTTTTTAATCATACAGATCTTTCTTCAGAATTATTTCCTAAAAATTTAAAAGTTCATATTTGAAATTTCAGTAAGAGGCGGTCTAATATTGACCAGCTTGTTAATATTAATTTTATCGTAGCTTTACAATACCATCTTTTTTTAAAAAAACTTATAGT